GGTGTGTGTACCTCGGGTGGCAATGTGCTCTTCCCTGCGGGTTCAGATCCCCGCGTTCAGGCCGTCGCAACTGTAGTCGGTTTCTTCAATAGCCCCTCTTTGGTTACCAGACTTCGCGGGGAGGAGGGCATAGCAGTTCGTCGCGCTGCTGGTCGAAAAGCACAGCAATTGTACAACCTCACCGGCGAGATTGAGCTCATCCCAGCGTACTCCAGTACCACGAATGCTTCCGCCAACTTCGGACCGCAGCCTTATTACGAAGACCCTACTCGTGGGGGTGGCGCTGTCGGATGGCGCAACGAGTTTGCTGTGGCATCTTGGGGCGCTTGGCTAGATTGGGATCCTGTGACTCAGGCTGGAAATGTTACAGTGCCAACATTGATGATCCACTCTGAAAACGCCGCTTTCCCTGATCAGGCACGTACTGTCTACAATCGTCTGGGGCCTCAAAAGGAGATCATCTGGACAAATGGAACCCATTACGACTTCTACGATAACCCACACACAGTTCGCTTTTCAGCAGAGAAGGTAGCACAGCACTTCAAAAAGTATCTCTTGTAAATTGTACTTAGCAGAAGATAACATTGTAATCGTAAATTGAAGCCTAGATTAGAGGTATAAAGATATAATCCTTCTTCCTTAGAGATGGGTATGTTTTCAAGTACTCTCTAAAAGATTGTGAATATAAGAACAGATTAAGAAAACATATTTCCTAAGGCAACTTACCTACTTGTCGCTCAGGGTGTACTGTCAAAGCGGATTATTAGAACAATGAAGGATAAGGATAAGGATCACGTGACGCAACCTGGTCAGAGGTAATGCCTGATTGTAGCCACAATCTAATCCCAGCCACACTAAGATCTTGTGAGCTGATACCAAACTAGGGTAATTCACAGGCATCTAAGCCAGAATGTCATCTACAAACAAAGGTAGAGGACTTGATTACTTCTTCTATTGGCAACATCGATCCAGTTCAACTAAGCTCTCTGATCAACCATACTACTTGTATAAGGTATATTACCTGACACCAGATATGCACCTTTGTTAATAAGTAAATCTTTCTCCCACAATCTGCTCACTCAAAGCCCACAGCTGTTCTGCGTTTTTCTCACTAGAAGCAAATTCTAGGGCCTCCGCAACCTGACAATCATCCAAGAATGCACCTGATACACCTTTATATATCATTAGCAACCACTCGAAGCGTGGAACCTAAGCAAGTTGTACTTACTGTCAAGTCTAGGATCGAGCGCAGCAGCGACCGACGTCGCAGCACCCTCCTCTAGGGTTTTTTCTTTCGGCATCTCCATCTTCTTTTGCTCGAACAGTTTCATGACAACCGGCCAACTTTCTGGGTCGACACCC